CTGAGTCTTATGCCCAAGGTCTCAGTGGAGAGCCAAGTATTCCCTGCTTCTTGCAGGCCCTAGAAACTTAGGCTTGGCAAGCAGGTCTGAGAATGAAGGCTCAGTGTTCTTAGCATCTTTGAATATAAACATGAAAATCTAACAATCAGTTTGTCTCCTGGACTTAATTGAAAATGGGTCACATGTTGAGTAATTTCTTTTTACAGTATGTAAAAAGGCAGAATGAATATGGGACTAAGCTAACTGCTTTGCCTTGAAGGAGTCTGTTGAGGTCTCTCCTTGTAGAATTGAGAGTGGAGGAGGAAAGTATTTTCCTTGTGAAAAGTGACTAAGCTGTGTAGTTTGTGTACTAGTGTCTAGCTGATCATTAGGCCCTTTAAATAAGACGCTTGCTTAATATTCACTTATTTGAAATTGTTTTGTGGTTATTCGGTCTTGGACACCAGGGTTTGCAGGGGTGGGCTCTGCTGTCTCCTAATACTAGAAGGTTGTGCTTCATTTTAAAAGTACTGATAAGTAAAATCTGTGTATGATGACCTGTATTACCTCTCTGGGGTTCTGATGGGCTGCAGCTCTTCAAATTTATTGTTGGTTTGCTACATCCAAACCAGGTGGTTGAGTTTGGAAAAACTAAAGCAAGTTTATAGTGCAATCAGGATTGAGCAGTGCCCTTCTCATAAAGGGAGTTATCTGGATGAACTTAGTTTGTGCCAGCTGTTTAGCCTATGCAGGGACAACATTTTAAAATAAGAGGTTCACACAAAGCTATTCAGCTGTCTGAATGTATTGGACAGCTGGTCACTTGCATCTTGAAGTGTTATTGCCCAGATGTGCAAGTGACATCTTAATCAACAGTGCCAGCAACGTGACTGAGGCCAGGTCTTGCATGTTCTGGCTGATAACCAAAGTGGATTAGTAAAACTGTAAGCAGGTGAGAGGGGTACTTCCCTCGCTTTTCAGACTGTAGAAGACCTCTAATTCGGGGAACAGAGTAGTCTTCTGGGATGGGAGTGGTGCAGTTGGTGCTAGTGCCACAGAATGTGGCTTATCTGCTTTAAGCATCAAACTGAGCTCTAAGCGTCTGTCTCAATACACATACAGTTAAAGTTGAGAAGCTTTCATAAATCGTCTTGCTTCTTTTGGGGGTAGGGCTGGTGTCTTTATTTGGGGGGTTGCTGGTATGGGAAGGCAGAGACCTTGTAGCAGGACTCTGCTATGCATCCATGTACTCATGGCCTTACCGGTCTGATATAATGTTGCTGCTGGGTTTATTCTGTTAAGCAACTGTATGCTCATGTGTTCCCTACTCAAATTAGTTTTCAGTCTGAGCTTGCATTTAGTCTGCATTAAATACCTTCGTGTGAGTCCTTGTTGACTTGCTTCCTACACTGGAAGGTTCTTCTTGCCTCCTAAAGCTTACATAAGGTTATTCTGCATATCCACTGTAAGTTGGTTGGCACAGGGTAGAAATGTTTCCTCTGACTGTAGAGAACCTCTTTGTCTGAGGCAAGCATAATGTTTGAACATGGCTCTATAGGTAAAGACTGTTCCTGTATGGGCAGCAATGGCATTTCTTCAGAGGTGTTCTTTAATGGAAACTGGACTGCTAGGTGTCATTGAAAACCTCACATGCTTAACTGTTTGTTGGTGATGGGGAATGACACTTGACTATTGAAGCCGGAAATGTGGTTTACTTAAAGTGTCAAATGAACTGAGAGCTTGACACTGAATCAGCAGAATGGAAATGGTTCAAGATGGCAGTTGCTTGTTGGGGAAACTGCATGTCACAGGGAAGGGATATTAAATGCTGAGCCTCTATAGAGTTGATTACCTTGTTGTTTAGAGTTAGGAGTAAGGGCTTTTGAGCTCAGAAGAGCTCAGAGAAGTTCAATTCCTTTGCTGCCTTTACAGGTTTTGCCTTTCATGTGGGAGAAAAGATACAAAGTGGAGTGACAGAGTGGACTTGTCTGCCTCTGTTCATCAGTTCTTTTATATGCTGGACTATCTGTGCTCCTGTTCTAGTGTTGGTACTAGTATACCAAGTAATACATGCTCAATTCTGTCTTTGCTCTGTTCTGGCTCAGTTTCCTTTAAGTACGTTTTCAGTTGGTAATCTCTGTAATAGGGGAGGGTTCCTCTTGTATCTAACCTGAAACTACTCTGACATGCAGTGACCACTATACTTCTCCCTACAAGGCAAGGAAGAGGGGATAGCCTGGCATCTTACAAGTGGAGCAATAAAAAAAAGCTAGGATGCCTGGATTTTGTTCCTGGCTTGCTTGCTGGGTCAGCTGCCTCATTTCTGTGGTGGTGTTGTCTTTGCCGTATGTGCTGCTG